TTTTTCAGCGCGGCACAGCTGCTGCTGTCGTTGCCATTGCGCTTGCTAAAATATAAAGTGTTCTGCCCTGTTACCAATGCAGTTTGTTTGGTATGTTTAGGGAGTATTGTTGGTGAAAGCTCTTTAAGCTCTCTTCTGGTATGGGGCAGTTCAGCATCTGTTAAATACAGGCTTTGTCAGTGCTGCTGTAGCCATATCTCTCTTAGCTTGATTATAATTAGCTTCAGCACTGAAAGGTTTGAGATAAAGGTGGGCTCGGTCTGTTTTCACCCTTATCAGTACTTGAGCAGAGCAGATTGATGTTAACTCGGGTGTGACAGTGTTGTCCTACAGTCACGCACGTCGAGTATCTTAAAAGCCTTTCTCGGTGTACTGCACCTGAAAATGGCAGCACTGGGTGCTCTGAGGTGAAATGCACGGAGGTTAATAACAGATGAGGAGACATACAGAGGAAGATTACCAGAAGAGAGAGCTGTCTTCTTCCTGAAGGAGGATTCCACGTACCTGAGTCGACACCAGGCTTGAAGTTTGCTGCATTCCAGAAGAGCATGTCAGCACTTGACACTTGATCCTTTTCTTTCAAGCAAAACAGCAACTTTTTGCACCTGCACCTGCTCGGTTTCTTTGCTGTTGTCTTGCCAGCTGTGAAGAGCACTTTACTTGGTTTGGACAACAGGGTTAGTTCAGCTGACAGCCATGGTGTGTTTTGAGGCAGGACAGCAACAAGCAGAGAGTCTGCAGTTACTGAAGATGGTAGAGTAATTACTCTACTCTGCCTCAGGCTGGCAGATGAGCAGTAACAAGGCTCTTGTGACAATCTAGTGTAGCCCCAGTTCTTGCCTCTATTCCACTCTAAGCTTCTGCAGGCCTTGCTGACTCAGAGACATTAATTCCTGGCTCCCAGGCAGAGTGAGAAACAGAGTGCTGAGGCTGAGTAAAACCAGCTGGACATCTTGTGGAGTCCTGTTGCTAAGTCTTCTTTCTTTCTTTGCCTTGTCCAGTTCTGGGAGGATGCGGAGAGTTAAAGCAGTGCTTGTTAAAGTTACAGAGGAGGTGCACAGTGTGTTTTGGGATAAGGAGGAGGAGAAGAAAATGCTTTGAAAGCTGCAAATACAGAGCATTAGACAGCCAATCTGGGCAAATTTTTCCTATAAAGTTGATACTAAGAAATATCTATTTCAGTGACAAAAAGAATCCGATTCTTCTGATATTTAAAAAGGTAGCTGGATTTATTTGCATGGTCATATGGCAAAAAGCTTAGACCAGCACCTTTTCTTTCTGTCCATCCTTTTTGTTTTGCAAAAGCAGACTGTGTATCTCAGTGTTGCTTGATCCTCAGTCTTCTGTTTTGTGGCCCAAGTCCTTTTGGCAGCTTCAGTTCTTGGAGAACTGGATATATTTTGTATTTTAAAACAAGGTAACGGGTTTCAAACTAGGTAATACTTAACTTTCCTGTGTTCTGGCAAACAATACTGTTTTGTATGCAGTGTAATTTAAGCTACTGGTTGTCCACCAGGCAAGATTTTGATGTATATCTGGAGAATCTTGGTTTAATCAGTGGAAATAAATTTGAGCTGGCCTTTTGTCAGTGTCCTTGAGGTTGCAGGATGTAATTATGTGGAGTTCCTGTGCTAGCTGCATTCAGCTGGATGGTAAAATTACTCAGGTTCATCAAGGTAAGTAGAATCTGTGGAAGTACTGTGGAGGTACTTGGCAAAACCAGTTGAGTGGGAAACGTACTGCAGCAATACTGCAAATAATATTTTTCATACCTGCAATTTTATTTCATTCCTATGCTAGTTTGTAAGTCAGTTAAGGGGAAGACTTCAGCACTGTTGTATATAGACAGGCTAAAGCAAAGATCAGAAATGCAAACACAAGTGCTAGCTTCTGGGATTTAAGCCTGTAAGTTGAAATTGGAATTCATTCTTCTGAAGCACCAAGAGCGTATCTGTGCATTGGGGGCACCAGTGCCACTGCAGAGACGTCTCTGGCTCTCCCTGGAAGCCAAGGGAGTGCAGTTGTTCTCATGTTCTTGGGTTAGACCAAACTGTGGTCTATTATGAGCTACTGCAGAGGGTAGATGTAGCTTTAGATTTTAAGGAACATATATATCCACCTTGTGCAGAATACTGTATTGTCTTGTGCTGGTAATTGTCAATTGAAATATCTCTGTTTTATTTCCTAGTGAGCCCTTAGATCCCTAATATGTTCATGGGCTTGAACAGAAATTGCCTCTCTTAACATAATACTGTGTAACGTAGGATTTCTTGTATTTTCCACTGAGGTACCTGGAACACAGTACAGGATTAAATGATTCTCAGTTTAGTGAGAATTAACAGTTGCTGTGAAAGAAACCCATAAAAACACAGTTTGATTTTTAAGTTTTGTATGTTCAAGGATCTGGACTAACCTTTTTAAGTAGTTCCAGTTATATTGGCCCATCTACATTCTTGTTCAGTATTCTCTTTCCTTTCTAGGCAGCTGTAGTGCTGTGCCTGGATGTAGGCTTTACGATGAGCAGTTCTGCCTCTGGTGAGGAGTCTTCACTTGAACAAGCCAAGAAGGTTATGACAAAGTTTGTGCAGCGACAGGTAAGTGTGACTCTACGTGTGATTAAAAACTGTTAAAAGGGGGAGAGGAAGCAGTGACAACTGTGAAATATTTTCCTCTTTTACTAATACCTGAAATAAATGAGAGATGAGTAGTGATTAGTCCTTTTTTTGTGCAGGAGTAACAGTGTTCTTTGTTTCAGCTGGACTTTTGTGGAGATGCAGCAATTAGATTGGTCACTTTTTTCTTTAGGGCAGTAGAAACTTTCAGGGGGAAAACGTAGTCTTTCTCTAAAGTGTTTCAACCTTCTTAAGACTTACCATACTGAAGACTCATTTCAAGGATTGAGTCAGACAGTTTTACTCTTTTTTTGCCAGATATCCTCATGTCAGTCCATCAGTTTAATTATCTCTGAATTGGGGAACTCTGTAAGATTACATTTTGGTAGGATAGCACTGAAAAAGTGAATCCACTGTATTTGACGTTGTTTTAAGATCAGTTCAACTTGCTTGAGTCTACCTAACACAATTGTGCATGAATCTACCTGTGTTTTTATACTTGTTTTGTAATTTCTCTGTTTCCAGATTTTTGCTGAGAGTAAAGATGAAGTCGCTGTAGTTTTGTTTGGCACAGATGGTACTAGGAATGACCTTGCCAGTGGGGATCAATACCAAAACATCACTGTACATAGGTCACTAATGCTACCAGATTTTGATCTGCTGGAAGACATTCAAGATGTGATTAAAGCAGGCTCTGAACAAGCTGACTGTATCCTTTCGTTGTAGAGCTCTTCTCGAGCTGATCAGCTACATAGGAGGTAGGAAGTTAGTGTTGTCAAACGGGCCCAGGTTTGCCTCCAGAGTTTTAACTACGGTCGGCTGATTTGTGGTTGCAAGTTTGTTCAGAAACAGATGATCTGCGTTTTGATATTCTTTTAGGCTAGCAGGCCTAGTCCTGGCCATAGGAAATTGTTGTTTTTATGAAGTGTTCTGTTAAGTAAAGAGGACAAAGATAGCAATAAAATAATTTTAGGCCTCAAATAAGGCATGAGGGTTTTTTTAAATAATGTTCAGAACTTGGTTCACTTTTTTGTTAAATAATATTATTTATGAAATACGTTGGCAGAAGTACCAGGAGTCAGACAAAGCAGAAGAGAGGTTTATCAGATTGTTTTCCATATAAAGTATTTCTAACCTTGCCAGATGACACTTGCTGGTTTGAATGTTGTTCAAGTTCGAGTGTTTTTTGTTGTTACCTGCATAAGGTGAAGAGTTTTAAAAGAAGGTGAACTCTTTGGTGTCCCTTTGTGTGTCTCATTTACGTACTGCTCTAACTTCCTGTGTTGTTTTCCCTCTTTTCGGCCATAAAGTGATTGTAGTGGACTCTGTTCAAATGGTCAGAGCTGCTTCCAAGCAGTGTGCAGCCAGTGCAGTCAGCTGTGTCTTAGCAGAAGCAGAGTCATGTTCCTTCTTCAGTTGGTGGGCAGATATGTGCGTGGTGATAAAAATACGTTCCTAATTAAAACTGTGAGGAAGAAACCATGCCAGATGCAGATGTTTTGAGGGAAAGCTTGCGTGAGAAAATGGTATCATGTTTTGAAAGTACAAGTAAATTTTGTTTGTGGATTCAGAGTAATGTTGTAAAGATTCGATTGTTCTTTTGTGTCTCCTCATTGACGGTTAAAAGATTGGGTAGTGGAGCAGTCTTTTTAGTGTTCCATCAGTTAAATGGGGAAGAGATAAGATTACAGAACAGACAAGTTATATGGGAAACTTGACTAAAATGCGTGTTTGTCAGTGTTTGGCAGGGTGTGAAAACAGAAGACTTCCATAGGAAAAACACTTTTGTGACATGATTCATGTTCTAAATGAGATTTTTCTTAAACCTGCTTAGTTCTGGATGCAATTATTGTGTGTATGGACTTGCTTCAGAAGCAAACAATGTGAGTATGTAACCCAAAGCCTTTTACAGAATCCTGACCTTGCACTTTGGAGCTGATCGGATTTTTTGTCAGTATTAGATTTCCAGTATTGTATAAATATGGAAAATACTTTAAAAAAATATTAAAAAAACCTAAATTTAAAGAAAACACTACAGGGTCTGTTCCTGAAGAATCCCCAGGAAATACCTGGCTTCTCCAGATAATCTGAGAGCTTTCTGATGCAACTGGGAACTAGAAGTAGATTCATGAGAATATTAATGACATTATACAAGGCACAAAGACTTCACAGTTCGTATGATCTGTTTTCAAAAAAACATTCACATGTTAAAACGCGTAGAAAAGGGCTACTAAATTTATAAGGGCTATGGTGTATCTTGCAAGGAAAGAAAGAAAACAAAACTAGAAGTGTGAGTTTGTTCAGCCTAGCAAATTAAAGGCTATTGGAGAGAGAGTGGCTGTTTGTAAATATGCAGGGTGTAGGAGATAAATGTGCAGTAGGAAAAAACACTGTTCAAGCTGAAGGAAAAGGTTGGCACAAGTATTACAAAGTTGTCAATAAATGGACTGGAAATTTGACCCTTTCTAACACTCAGTGGACTGATGGTCCAGGGAAAGGAAGATAACCTGACTTCCTCTCAAAACAGAGATTGAACATGTTGTTAAAAAGGTGATGTGATCTAACTGTGGATGTAGTAGATGAGACTTAGCAATGCAATTTGTGTTCTTATGAATAAAGTCTAACAGGCATGGAGAGCTGTATCAATTTAATGGTTAAAACTGAGTTGTGAATTAAAATAACTGTATTTATGGCTTGAATAGTATCACCTTGAATACCTACAGAGCAACTGCTTTTGTTATCTTGTGGGTAAGTTGCTTGTATGCATCAAACTCTGATATGGGGTTTACCTTCAATTGAGAAAATATTGGGTAAAATTCAAGGAAATCACCTTTATGGTTGAATGTCTAGATAAAAACTGCAGCAATTCAACTGAATTTTTTCCTGTAGCTGGCAGAACTTTCTGGTGTTTATTGTTAATACTTTGCATATTAAGTAGGCTTTATAGTCCACCTTATTCAGTGGTTCTACTGAATAAGCTCACTAAAATGGAACCCCTGCCAGCAGCAGTACTTTAAAATACATTTTCTATTGTGACAAGGACAGAGTTACAGTTGCAAAGGAAATATCTGCTATAATCAATAAACAGCCTAACATTTTTGTTAGTGCTGTATCTACACTGGTGAAAATTGGCAGAATTCAATTCATTTGATGTAGTTAGTGATTTATGCAGTCACAGGGCTAGAGTCCTCAATTTTAGGGGGTAGGAGTGAGTGGGGGGAATCATATAAAGATAAAAACTTACCATAAGTGAGAAATGATAGAGCAACTGCCAAGTCTGTTTGTTTGTTGGTTTTGTTGTTGGTTTTTTTTCAAGTTTATTTGTTAAAGCTTCACTTTTGTAAGGAAAGAATTAGAAAAATGCCCTTTAGATATTTTCAATATATGTAAATGTTCTTTTTGTGTTTTAAGAGGAAAGAAATATGAGAAGAGACACATTGAGCTGTTTACAGACCTTAGCAGTCCTGTCAGTGAGGATCAGCTGGATATTATCGTTGATAACTTGAAGAAAACTGGAATGTCACTTCAGTTTTTGTAAGTATGGAAGTGGCTGTTATACACTGCCATTTTTTAAAGGGAAATCTTTATTCTGTCTTAATAATGATCTTGAAGGAGCTGGTTATCTGTTGCTGTATTGTTTCTATAGAGGTGTACCAGTATGTAACACGAATCGTTATAAATACATAAATCAATTACACATGCCATGTATTCCAGTTATGGACCAAGTACACTTGATTAAGTGATGTGCAAATACACGTTAAGATGATGGCTTCTTCTCCAGTTAAGCTTATAGCTTACAGCTAAAGTCTAAAATGGGAGACAAAAGATCTGTATAAGCTGAGAAGTGGGAAACGGTGAGCCAGAAATAGCCTCAGCAGCAGTGGTTTTGTCACAGCAACAGCCTAGATCCTTTTAGGTTGTAGTTACTGGGAAGAAATAATGAGGTAGTGTTGCAGATGTTTATAGCCCGATTCTGGTGTCAGTAGGAAAGCAAGTCTGAAGAGAAGGGTTACAATCACAGTGATGGGCTTGGAAAATGGAAGTGGACAGTGGAAGCAATGTCTTACATGTGATGACAGGAATCCCTTGGCTGGCTTGGTATACGTATAAGCACCAATCTGAAGAACAGATGGTGCTGAGATCTGTAGGAGTTACTGCACATGATAGTAACATAGAAAGCTATAGGCCTTCTAGTAGGTGTTTACTTAAAGCAAAACTTGGTGTGAATGTTAATATTTGCTGTTTAGAACAAATACACAGGAGGAAGTTAAAGCCGCACTTTTACTTCTGCCCCTTTTCAATACTTACTTTCACCTAGATCCAGCATTCTCTAAGTAGCAGTGTTGTGAACTTGATAAAATTATTAAAGCCAATGTGGACTCACCTGCAAGATAACAGAGGGGTTAGGTAGGAAAGTGTGACTGAAAATCATGGGCTGATCCTCCACAGAATTACTGTTTTTTTGCCTGTACTTGGGAGAGGCTGAATGTTTAAATGTCAGACTACTCACAGGTTCTGTCTACACAGCAAAAGAGGGTATGCTTGCAACATGCCTTGACACACCCCATCTACGTTATTTGAGCTATTGTTGCCTCTGGAGGCAGTGGAGACACGTCCTGGTTTAGGGCTGGGCTGGCCACTAAATCCTGGACAGATGCTCTCTGTTAACCCCTCTCCCTTCCCCAGAAGGGAAGAGAAAAGAGAATACGGGAGAGAGACTGTACCGGTTGGAAAAGAAAACTAACAGATTTAATGAAACAATAATACTACAGGATAATAATGTACATAGGAAAATAATGAAATATATACAGATGTGTACAAATATTTATATAAAATTCTCCCCCTACTCTCCCCCAATGACGACTACGTCACCAGAGGCTCTGTGGAGCAGGGCACTGGAAAAGTCCCAGTCTGGACTCAGCAGCAGTGGGAGCAGGATGCAGGAGCTGGATTCAGGAACACACACATCAGGATCGGAGGCAGATGAACTAGCAGGGTTCTGTCTGGACTTCGGCCATTGCAAGAACAGAGCAGGAGGGAAGTGTTGGAGAGAAGGGTTGAGACCCTCGTGATCCCTCAGCTTTATGCTGAGTATGACATATGTGGGATGGAATACCTTGTTGGTCAGTTTTGGATAAAGATACAGATTTCTATCCTGTCTGCTCCTCCCTGTAGGTGCAGATACAGCACCCATGGTGAGACAGTGGCCTTGTGATGTTTACATAACATGCAAGCCTTATCACTTGTAGAAGTGAACACTGGAAAAACGTGCTGTTACAGAATCACACAGAATCACAGAACGT